GGAGTTAACCTTGACTCCATGGTGAGACCCTGTTTCAAAACAACAGAAACCAATCAGCCAGGGGCTGGAGTGAAGGCTTAGAAGTTAAAAAGTAATCAGTACTCTTCCAAAGAACCTGGTTCAATTCCCAGCACCTGCACAACAGCTTATAACCATCTAGCTCCAGTTCCAGGCACTCACTGACCTCTTCTGGCCTCCAGGGGCATTGCATACATGTGGTGCACAAAGATGCAGGCAAAACATCTTCATGCATACATTGTTTTTTTAATTGCCACCCAGTGATGGTGGTGCATGCCTTTAATCCCAGCACTCGGGAGGCAGAGGCAGGTGGATCTCTGTAAGTTCAAGACCAGCCTGGTCTACAAGAGCTAGTCCCAGGACAATCTCCAAAACCACAGAGAAACCCTGTCTCCAAAAGCCAAAAAAAACAAACAAACAAACAAAAAAAAGCCAAAAAGCTCAGAACAGCCTATTGGGATAGGCTGGAGGCAGGAGGATGAGGAACCCAAGGTCACCCTCAGCTACATAGCAAGTTCAAGGATAACCTGGGCTGTCTGAGAACTTGTCTCGACAAATGAAACAAAGCAAAAAATCCTACATTCTAAGTCATGGATCATTTTGACGGATTCCAGGACAGAGAAATAGACAAAAGGAATAGAAGACCCTGCTGATGACTACAGCTCCTGGGCCACAGAAGTCCTGTGGGCACATGATTCTGGTATCAAGAATGAAATCTCCCAGAAGCTCTGGAGCTGTGCAGTTAGTGCAAACCTTAGGGCCATGAGAAAGCTGGGAACAGCATGCTGGAATATGTTCTCTGGGCAGGTACTGATCACATCCCACAGGTTTGCCCCTGGTGTGAATGTTCATCTTTTGTCAAATCATGGGAACTCTAGTCACCTGGTCTAGTACAAGCAACCGAAAGTATGTCTCTAGACATGCACTCCTGACTCCTGCACACCCCTGGGCGTTATGTGGTCAGTCTAGCTTCCCAGCATCGTGGACCCTGGCTACCCTCACCTGCTCAGTGTCAGATCGATTCCGTTTCCCTTCAGTTGGAGCTCCGTCACTTCGAATCACTTTGGGTTTCCGTTTTTTGCTGGATTCTGATGACATTGTTGCTCTTGCAGATCAGAGAGCTATAAGAAGAGAAAGCTTTTGAAGATTTCCTAGAGGGGCTGGAGGGATGGTTTGGCAGTTAGGAGTACTTGGGGCTTTTCCAGAGGACCCAGGTTGGATGCCCAGAGCCCACCTGACAGTTCAGAACCATCTAGAACTACTGTTCCAGGGTGCCTGATGACCTCTGATCTCTACAAATATCAAGCACGTGGGTGGTGCACAGATATGCATGTTAGCAAAACACACATACACTTAAAAATAATAACTGAAAATATATTGTATGATGTTTTCAAAGAATTAAGTTTTTGGGTTTAGTTTTAAAAAGAGAAAAGGGCTGGAGAGATGGGTCAGCACTGGCTGCTCTTCCAGATGACCTGAGTTCAATTCCCAGCACCCACAAGGCAGCTCACAGCTGTCTGTGAGTCCAGTTCCAACACACTCACACATGCAAGCAAAACACCAACACACATAGAATTTTTTTTAAAAAGAGAAATGCCAATGAAAAGCTGATTTTTAAAAAAGGCAAACCAGATAGTCAAAATCTTAGCCAAACTAACCATAAGAGAGAGATCTGATACAGAGTGTTTTCTGTCCCACCAGGTCCCGCCACTTCAGCCCCAATGGATTTAAATTAATTGATATTAGAAATAAAAATAGGCCGGGCATTGGTGGCACACGCCTTTAATCCCAGCACTCGGGAGGCAGAGGCAGGCGGATCTCTGTGAGTTCGATGCCAGCCTGGTCTACAGAGTGAGTTCCAGAACCGATTCCAAAACAATACAGAAAAACCCTGTCTTGGGGGAAAAAAAAAAGAAAGAAAGAAAGAAAGAAAGAAAGAAAGAAAGAAAGAAAGGAAGAAAGAAAGAAAAACAGGCCAGGCAGTGGTGGCACATGCCTTTAATCCCAGCACTTGGGAGGCAGAGGCAGGCGGATCAGCCTGGTCTACAGAGCGAGTTCCAAGCCAACCTCCAAAGCTACAAGGGAAGCCCTGTATCCAAACCCCCCTCCAAAAAAAAGAAAGAAAAAGAAAAATAGATATCACATGGATTCTAATGAAGTTCAGAGGCTCACTAGGGAGCACTTTAAAAGAGAGAAAAGATTCCCCAGAGTCAGGGGCAGAAAAGATGGCTCAACAGTTCAGCTAAGAGCATGCACTGTTTTGCAGTAGACCTGCATTCAGTTCCCACATTGGGAGCTCACAACTCTCAAAATAAAAAAAAAAAAAAAATAAAGCTTTAAGGTTTTTCCAGAACTAAACTGGGCATGATAGTGCATACCTTTAATCTTAGCACTCAGGAGGCAGAAGCAGGAAGACCTCTGTGAGTTTGAGGCCAGCCTGGTCTACCATTGCAAATGAAAGGGCAGCCAGGCTACTTGGAGATCCTGTCTCAAACAAACAAAAAAGACTTTCCAGAATTCAACCTGGAGCCCTTGCTGCCTCAGCCTCACCAGTGATCAGATTACAGGTGTGGATGATCATGCTGTGCTATCCCTTTCCAATTAAAAAAAGAAATTGGCCAGGTGTGATGGTAAACACCTTAATCCCAGCTAATCCCAGCATTGGGGGAGTGGGAGCAGAGGCAGGCGGATCCTTATGAGGCTGAGGACAGCTTGGTCCACATCCCAACTGTCTCAAGAAACAAAAATCACACAAAATTGTGATTGCTTCAAGTACATCTAGTTTCCTACTTTGCCGTTAACACTTACAAGTGCCAAGGTTCTTGTAAGAAATGGATTCTCGCCCAGCGGTAGTGGCACACACCTTTAATCCCAGTGCTCGGGAGGCCGGTAGGTCTCTGTGAATTCCTGGCCAGTCTGGTTGACAGAGAGAATTCCAGGACAGCCTCCAAAGTGACAGAGAAACCCCGTCTTGAAAAACCAAACCAAAACAAAACAAACAAAAACCCAAAAGAAATGAATTCTCTCTCAGAGCCTTAGACAGGGAAACCACCACAGAATTTATCGATAGTCATCTGTTTTCATTATATTATGTATATTATGCAATTCTATCACTATCATAAGACAAGTGCAACCAGTTTCCTGTTTATAGTACACAGACCTCGAGTTTTCTACCGAAATAAGTTTAAGTTTAAAAAGTGACTGTGAAGTTGTGAATGCAATTCAGCTGGCAGAGTGTGTGCTTAGCATACTCAAAGACCTTTGAACTCCTGGACCTTATAAGACCGTGGTGGGACATGCCTGAAATAATAGCACTTTGGAGGTAGAGGATGGAAGATGAGAAGTTCTAGATCGTCCTATGCTTAAAGGTCAGCACAGACTACATAATAAAATCCTGTCTCCAGGGGACAAATGGAGGGAGGATGGGCTGAGACAGAGTGGGACACATGCGCAACCACACTGGAGTGACTGAGGCAGAAGGATCTTCGCGGATGTGAAGCCAGCAGGGGGCGCTACCGGCCAGAATGACCTACAGTGACTGCATTCAAATTATTCTTTAACAGGGCAAGGTGGCACCGCTTACTGCCCAGGCCTTTGCAGTGTAACTTAAATAAAAATCTTTTTTTTTCCTTTCTTAAAAGTAACATAAGTAAAATATTTAGTGAAACATCTAAGTTAAATCAGGCCAGCTAGCGAGGAAACAGGAGACTTTAGAAAGGAAAGTCATGCTCCCCTCCCCTCCGGACAGCCACACTTCACGCTCTCAGCCTTTCCGCTCCAACAATAAATGCACGAATTTTCTCTCACTACGACTCCTCGGAGTCTTCGGCGGCGCGAGAGTGAAGGGAGCGCCGGCCTCTCGGGGGGCCTCAGGCAACTGTGAGTGACAGTTAATCAAGCGGCGGGTTCATCTGACAAAAGCCACAAAGGTGGCAGCGGAAACCTGGGAAATCCCAAACGTCACGCAGGGGCGTTCCCCACACACAAAAGGACCGCGACAAGGTGCTATCGCTGCCACGAGCCCCACCCGGAGGCCACAGGATGCTGCTCCGGCCAGTGCGCAGGAGAGGACAACAGCCACGAGCCCTGGGGGAAGCCGGCGGGGTGCGACCCCAGCCCGGGAAACGCGCGCCGTGTCGTCGGCCCCGCGCGCCCCGCACCGACCAGCAACCCCACCCCGCAACACTCCATCCTCGCTCACCACAGAGGTCCTCACGCCTTCCAGCCTGGCGGCCACTTCCGGCCCACGACCATAGAGTAGCGGAAGCTAAGAGCTACTGGCCGGAAGTGAAACACGAAGGCCTGATGCAGCTTGGGAAGCGAGGAAGGGGCGTGTACGCGGCCGGGCAACTTTTCTAATCGACCCTCTGAAACTGGGAAACTGCGGCGATGAGGACCTAGAGCCTGTGCCCCGTTGCTCACCGGCGCGAAAGCAGTGGGCTCATGGCTGGGACCCTAGTGGATTTGCCTCCTGACTGTATGAGAGACGCTCTCCCAGGATAAGCCGAGCACGCTGTGTACATCAGGCTGATCCCTAACTCCCTCAGACCCACCCGTCCCGACCCCACTGGAATTAAAGGCATTGCCACCACGCCCGGCTCTAACTTGACTTCTTAACACTGTCAGAGTCGCTACACCAAAGACGGCACTTAGTTGGGCAGGTATAATCCCGTATTACACCCGTTCCCTCTTAACACAAGCGCATCACTGTTTGTCCATGTTAAGCTTGATTTTCCCAAGACAAAAGTCACTACTGTATAATGCAGTATTTGAAAACTTGTGGCATTTCTGGAGTGAATCCTGCTTGTTTGGGGGCTTGAAACGTGTATGGAATACCTGGTTATGCAGAAACAGTTCCTTCTCTTGCCCTGGTGTGAAGATAGCAATGTCTTCCCTGAGAGATTAAGGGGACAGTACCCTCCCACCCCCAGACAACTGGACACTGTCCTGCCTTATACAACCGCAGATGAAGACACCACAACTTAAGTAAATATTTAATTTGGTTCCATCAACTATCCCAATACATTTCCCTGGTAGGGTAGCAAAACCATGCTAGGCAGGGCCTCATGAGGTATGGGGGTCATTGAGGAGACCCCAGAATCACTGAACCCACTCCACAGGCCTGGTGGTTCTGCAAAACGAGGGTCTGCTGACAGAAAGTCAAACTGGGGAAGAAGGAATTGAAGAGGAGAGAAGAGGAGAGGTCACAGCCTGTATTTTTGCCTGTAGGAAGGAAGTCAGAAGAGCTGGAACACAATTCAAGGTTTAACTGAATCATAGGAAAAAAGGCTAAGCCTCTCCATCTGTCGTAGGGTCCTCCCTAAGGTCTTCCACCATCTCTATCTTCCAATTCTGCGTTTCAAACCAAGCTGGGTCCTATGTTCCAGCTTCTCCTAGGTCCTGCTTCAAGTCTGTCTCATATACCCAAGTCCTCCTCCCTTTCATCCTTTCCCAGCCCCTCTGAGTGGAATTCTGGGTCTCCTTCAGACATTCATGACTTCAGAGTTTACAGCTGTTCCAGGTTCTTAAGGCTCAGACTTGCATTTTCAACAAATAGACGCCAGGGAGTTCCTGGAGGCCATACCTGGTCTGCTATCTCTTCACACCCCCCACCTCTTAACAACTAGTCATGCCACCTGTCAGGAATCTAGGCAATGTCCACAGCGTTAGCTGGGGACTTGACAGCCTGGAGAGAGGAGCCTCGGGGAAATGTGGGAATGCTTAAAATGTTGCTATTTTTCATTAGGGAAATTAGAAACTTCTTCTGCCTGGGAGAGAAGTGGGATGGGCATAGACAGAACTGTACGTTCTTAGAAAGCGTCATCTTTTCCAAGCTTAATAACCCATCAGAATTCTTCCAGAGCCGGGCATTGGTGACACATGCCTTTAATCCCAGCACTCGGGAGGCAGAGGCAGGCCGATTTCTGAGTTCGAGGCCAGCCTGGTCTACAAGAAATAGTTCCAGGACAGCCTCCAAACCCACAGAGAAACCCTGTCTGGAAAAACCAAAAAAAAAAAAGAAGAAGAAGAAGAAGCTCCTCTGTTCCAGGTTACTCCAAGGGAGAAAGGGAAGGAAGTAGAGGCAGTGCGGGCATCACTGGAGAGGAGAAATCTTCAGAGGGATCATGATCCGTGACTCCATATGTCGAACCAAGGGGACTATGGAGAGAGAAGCAGAGGTTACAGGGTGTCTGAGGCAAGCCAAGTGCTCTTGATTCCTGCCTAAAAACTCACAAAACCTGTGATGGGGAAAGGTCCCTGCTGTCATCTAACAGAGGCAGGAATTGAAGACAGGGTTTGGGTGGTAATGAGCTGGATATTTTAGAAAATTGTATTCATTTTCTTATATATGTGAAAAAAGCTAACACGGGTCTAGAGAGGTAGCTCAGTGGTAGTGCACCTGCCTAGCACACATGAACGCTTGGATTCTATCCTCATCCAAAACAAACAAAACACACTAGGTCTAATGATACAAAAGCAAGGACAATTTGAGGAGATTTGAAGAGATGTAATTCTAAGGCTGGGATGCAGTTCTGTGATGAGGTCGATGCTGGTCAGTGTGCATGAGGTCTTGGGTTCCATCGCCAGCATCACCAACAAACAAAAGCAGAGAGAAATGTACTTGGTGGTACACACTGGCGAGGGAAGTGCTAAGAGCTAAGGTTTAAATCAGCTCCCCCTCACGCCACAAGGGAGGCCACGTCCATGGGAGTGTCGGTGCCCATGCAGGTCAAGAGGAAACGTCAGAGCCACCGGGGTGGGGTTATAGGCAGCTGTGAACCTCCCAAGATGAGTACAGTGAACCGAACTTGGGTCCTCTCTAAGAGCGACATGTATGCTTAACCACTGTGCTCTCTCTCTCCGGCCCGAGTTTAGATTCTTGCTTCCTGTGCTTAACTTTCAGACTCTAATGTGTATTCAAATCCCCACAAGTCTAGTTCACACAAGGCTGGGAGACGCCAACGAGGCCTTTCTATTGTATCCAGTGGGTGCCAGCACTGCCAGTTGGGACCACCCCTGGAACAGCAAGGCTCACGCACTCACCTCAGCAAACATGCTGCCCACACCAAGTAGACATGTGGAAGATTAACTGCAAACCCATCTAGGTTGGGGACACACTCTTGTTTATATATACACGCTTACACTACCCACCCACTACAGTTTAACAGTGAAAACTCAGTATCTACTGATTCTGGGTGGTTCTCTGGGCTTCTAGCAGTGGTGACACATTGAGTAAAAAACTGCTCAAATAATTTGCTGTGTGTTTTGATGGCAGAACAAGGCAAAGAAAGCACTTTCCATACATCAGTTCTCCAAGTCCTCCCTGCAGCAGAGACAGCATCTGCCTTACCATCTGATGAAGAAGATGCCGCTGCTGTGAGGTACATGGCTGAGCCAGGGGCACGTCTCACACTGGGATCACCTGCCTGGATGAGTCCTAAGCCTCAGGGCGAATCGGTCACGTGGGATGTGTACTACCAAGGCAAAACCCCACTAACGCATGCCAAAGTAAGTTCCCACTTGGGCACACTGGTACATGCCTGCAATCCCAGCAACTTGGAAGGCTGAGGGAAAATGTCCACCCAAGATGAGCTTGAGCGGTACAGCAAGACACTGACTGAAAGGGTTGGATGGGGAGTGTACAACAGAACAAACAGTGAGTTCCCACACTGGAGGTAACCAAGTGATGGTAGCTGGCCTTGCAGAGACTGAGGCCTCAGGTCTCCCAGAAGACCCACAGAGGAGATACCCACCTGTGTAGTAGACATTCTCATCCCAGCCCCTCTTCCTCCAGGCCGCGTTGCGAGTCTCCTCCCGAGACTGCAGATCTTTGTAGGCTGTGAGAAAGGCACAGGCTTATTCCTCAGAGAATCTGATCTCTTCCTCAGCACAGAGACCCTTCCATTGCCCCAAACCCTGGCCTACTATCTCTTCCTCCCCAGATACCTCCTCCTTAGACTGTCAACAAACACTGCTGTCAATATCATTCAGGCACACATATTGAAATTACTCACTTCAGCTGGGCGGCGGTGGCACATGCATGTACACAGGCCTCGTGGGAAGGATTAAGGGTTTTGGAGCATATATGTATGTTGGCAACTCCTTTCTATTTCCAGTCTCAAACTCTCCTGTGAACTCCTATTTGGTGACATTTCAAGTTGGGAGCATCTGTATCTTATGATTTTTATTGCATTTATTTACTTATTCAAGGTGAGGACTATGTGGAGGTCAGAAGATGAGTTGCAGGAGTCAGATTACTCCTGCCATGTGGGCCCTGGGAATCAAACTCAGTCTGTCAGGCAAAGGTAAATGCCTTTACTACCATCTGGCTGGCCCAACACAGGCATCCTAAATATAACACCCCCAGAGGGCATGATTACACACCAATCCCATGACTTGGCTCCTCCCCTAGATGTCCTTGTCTTAGAAAAGAACACATAGCTCTTAGGGAAGAGTCTGAATGCTCCCCTTACCCTCTTCTTTCTCCTCCAGCAATTCATTCTCGAGTCCCACCAATTCAATCTTTTTTTGTTTTGTTTGGTTTGGTTTTTCGAGACAGGGTTTCTCTGTATTGTTTTGGAGGCTATCGGTCCAGCCCAGCCTCGAACTCACAGAGATCCGCCTGCCTCTGCCTCCCGAGTGCTGGGATTAAAGGCGTGCTCCACCACCGCCCGGCTTTTTTTTTTTTAATATTTTATTTATTTATTGTGTATACAGCCTTCTGCCTGCATGCCAGCAGAGGGTGCCAGATCTCATTCAAGGTGGTTGTGAGCCACCATGTGGTTGCCAGGAATTGAACTCAGGACCTCTGGAAGAACAGTCAGTGCTCTTAACCGCTGAGCCGTCTCTCCAGCCTTTGTTTTGTTTTGTTCTGTTTTTTTGTTTTGTTTTGTTTTTTGAGACAGGGTTTCTCTGTGTAGCTTTGGAGGCTGTCCTGGAACTCGCTCTGTAGACCAGGCTGGCCTCGAACTCACAGAGACTCACCTGCTTCTGCCTCCCAGTGCTGGGATTAAAGGTGTGGCCACCAATGTCCGGCCCCCACCGAGTCAATCTTAAGAGCAACCAATCTGCCTGAGCACGCACGCTACTGCCACTGCCTGAAGCCAGCTCATGCCCACCTGCCTGCACTAATGTGAGCATCTTCCTACACCCAGTTCCCAAACTTGCTTCCCTACCAGGCACTCTTAACAAAACCCATGGCAGCTTCAGAACTGACATGCTGCTGCCGCCTCCTCCCACCACATCCATTCCACGGCCTCTGAAGTCTACTTCTACCTGGTGGCTGTCCTCCTCGTCCATCCCATCTACACACACTCTTCCTCTCCACTCAGCAAAGGCCTCCTCACATGCTGTCCCTTCTGATTGTGACATCTCCTGGCTGGCTGGCTTCCTCACCCTTCAGCTCAGGAGTCATATTTTACATTCAGGAGGACATTGTCTATCCAAGTCACTAAAGTCCCTTGCTTCTTTCTGCTGTCTTGCCCTACCCAGTCTCCTGCAGCATCTTTCACCGTGTGAAATTGTTGCTAGTTTGTCTGAGGGTACATCGCCCTCTGCTAGGGTGTAAGAGTAATCAGAGCACAAATGCATCCACATTTTATGAGGTGATGGGACAAATGGGCTCCGGGAGTGTCTCCAACCTACCCCATAGGTGATGTACCACGTAGAGCTCTCCTATTTGTGAAAAGAAGCCTCCCACTGCCTCTTGGTTCTCTTGACGGTACTTGATGGCCCGAGCCCTGGAGATAGCAGAGAACATGGAACACTGGCCCAGGTTGATTCCTTGGCCACACTTTATGGGCGAGGTCAAAGTGGGACCAGGGAATGGATTCTGGAAGTGCAGCTGCCAGCTGGTTGGTAGCACTCTACAGAATCTGCAATGCTCAGGTAGGGCCTTCTCTGAGATCTGTGAGGAGCAGAGCATGCTGGGTTCCCTGTAACATACCCTGAGCAAGCCCACTGGGAGCCTAATGGGCAGGACAGCAGGGGCCACCACATTCCCAACCCTAGCGCCACCACTTACCAGTTGTTTCCCCACTCAATCATGGTTCCGGGCTGAAAGAGATCCAGAGAGAGGAGGAAGTGAGCACCACCTTGGACTCCCAACATCACAGGGGCAGGGAGAGGAAGCTAGCCTTCCCCAGTGCCAGGGGCTTCATTCAGGGGCCCTGACACACCTGTGCAGCTATGCATAGGAGTGCACATACCTCTGCTCTGAGCCCATAAGGAGGGAGGAGCATCAGGCCCTCCTAACCTGAGCTCCTGCAACACAGCAGCAGGGAGACAGAAGGCAAGAGTGGCTCTGTGGGAAGCCAGGTACCTTGAGCTTGTATGTCCTCAGCTCATAGATGTTGGGGCCAGCTCTGGGCTGTGGCTCATTCCAGAAGCTGAACTCCAGAAGCAACTGGTTTCTCCTGGACAGAAGCATCTTGCTCCGTTCCCTCCGGAACTCCAGGTACTCCTGAAGGCGGGGCATCACAGGCCAGGGGCTTTATGGTACCCTGTCAGTGTGTTCTGTGGGTGGCAGAGGGTCTCCCACACTCCCCTCCACACAGGGCTGGGGCTGGAAGCAACATGCACAAAGGATGCTGGGATACCTTGTTGGTTTTTAGCTTGTTCATACAGTCCATGAGGGCTGGATAGCCACCTGAGAACCGCCATAGGTGCACTGTGGGGACAGGGATACAGGTCAAGGAGCTATAGGAAGCTGAGCGTGTGTGTGTGTGTGTGTGTGTGTGTGTGTGTGTGTGTGTGTGTGTGTGTGTGTGTGTGTGTGTGTGTCCTGGTTCCCTTTGTCTTGGTGAGGAGTAGCACTAGGTGTGTGTTGTAAGGTGGTTATCTTAGATACAAAGCCTGGAGACTGCTAGCTCTGCTGTGTTTGGTAGCCTAGCCTTGGACCCCTCTAGGACTCAATGTCCTCATCCACAAAACCCCACCAACATTCTCAAAATAGCAGCAACAAGAGGATCAGATGAGGATGGGGGGGGCGGCTACTGATTATGCATATGCTTGGCATGCAGAAGGACCTGGGTTTCATCTATAGCATCACAAACAATGCCAAACAAAAGATGATAAGAGTGTCTTCCAGCCTAGGAACACCAGCAGAAACTCGGATGAACAGAACATTCCAAGAGGGCTGACGCCATAGCTCAGTGGTAGCGCACTTGTCTAATAGTAGGGGGTCCCAAGTTCCATTTCTATCACTGCAAAAAACAACCAACCAAACAACAGTTACAAAACAAGAATGTTCCACAGCAGTGAACTTGAGAAAATAAATAAATAAAAATAAGCACTGCAGCTATGTATGGAGACAGGGACATGCAGCTATAGCTCTGGGGAAGCTGTTGCAGAGGGATGCCTTGAGTCAGTGTCTGGGAAGGAAAGAAGGAAGCAGGCTGGGGATATAGCTCAGCTGAGAGCCTCACAAAGCCCTGGGTTCAAATCCCTAACCCTACACAATACCCAAATATATGTGGGCTGGTGACACACATTTGTGTGGAGACAAGAGGACCAGAAGATTCAAGGCCAGATTGAGCTCCTGTCACCCCCCCAAAAAAAAGGAAGGAGGGGAGGAAAGAAGAAGGCAAGAGGCAAGGGAGGGAAAGAAGGAAAGACAAGCTAAGGACTGGGTTACAGGGAGACACCAGCATGCGGTTGGGGGAAGGACACATACAAAAATGCCAATGTACACATGATCTCCTGGGGGATACTCCAGTGAGAGGCCAGCCTCATTCCCACTGGGAACTCTTGGGACGATTAGATTCGCCCCCCTCATCATAATCTCTGCTGGCTTCTATAGTAGCCCCTCAAAAATCCCTGCCCTGCCAGAACCTCGCTCTGTGACCTTGTTTGGAAACAGGGTCGCTGAAGATAACTGAGTTAAACCTCCAGACTTGGCAGACCTTCAGTCCAGTCTGGTGCCCTTATCAGAGGGATGCATACCAAGGGAACACCATGTGACTCAGGAGACAGAGCTCAGACTGATGTACCCACATGTCAAAGAATGACAAGGGTTCCTAACGGCCAGACGTTTCTCCCTGAGGCCTCAGAGAAAGCCCAGGCAGAGCTAATATCCTGATTTCTGTCTCTGGATTCCAAAGTTGAAGGATGCACTTCTGTTCTTGGAGTCTGCGGTATTTTATTATGGCAGCCCTAGGTAGCTAACCTGACTCCCAGTAAGCTAACCATGAGCCAAGTTGTTGCTCAGTAAGAGAACATGTTCCTGGCGTATTCGAGGCCTAGGTCATGGAAGGAAAGAGGGAGGGTGAGAGAGAGAGGGACGGTGGGACAGACAGAAGGGGACAGAAGGAAACTGGAAAGGACAGAACACTAATGGTGGGGATCACAGGTGTGCAGGGAGAAAGGCCCCTAGGAGAGTGAGGGTTAACAGGCTGACTTGAAAGCACCAGTTCTGTGACTTCCCAAGCTAGCCAGCCTTTCCCTCATCTGACTTTGCTGGTGCCCTGGTTTCCCCATTTGCAAAATGGCCTGACCTATGTCTTAGAGGACCTGTTCCAGAGGGAAGTACCTAATTTTTGTACGGATGGCAATCTGTCATATTATGGCAAGCCAAGAATGCTGAGTCACGGGAAACGGACCAATTTAATGTGAGGAGTTAATAGGACCTCACCACTGGCTAAGGAAAGAAGTCTCTGATTATATCGCAGTGGCCCCTAGAGAAGACAGATCGGTGATTTTGACAAGTTTATTCAAATGTATATCCCTGTGCTCCGCTCCTAGAGCCTGACTCTAATGGCCCGATCCTTAGATGATTCCACATAGAGGTGATAAATCTCAAGGTGTAGATCATGTAGGATGTGCTTTATAAGTCAAAATTCATTTCAGTTAGTAAGCATGTTTTTAGTTTTGTTTTAGATAGGGTATTACTAAATAGTTCCAGACTGGCCTCAAACTCTTGACACCCCTGCCTCAATCTCCCAGGAACTAGAATTACCAAGCCTGGCTCAACCAATAAACTCTTTCATTTTTTGAGACAGGGTTTCTCTGTATAACAGCTCTAACTATCCTGAACTAGTTCTGTAGACCAGGCTGGCTTCAAACCCTCAGAGATCCATCTGCCTCTGACACCCCCCCCCCAATGCTGGGATTAAAGGCGTGGGCCACCACATCCTGGCACAACCAGTAAATTCTATTTAATAGAATCCAGGAAGTTCTCCTACTGTCCATCAAGTTGATCAAACATTAAAGAAACCATACTACTAAGCAGAAGGCAAATGGCTTGTCTCTTGATTACCAGAGTTAATATCTGTCACCAGTACAGAACAGATAATTATAGAGCTTTGTCTTTCTCTTTGTACAGATTTCCTAATATTTTTTGAATCAGGATCTCTATGAATCCCTCACTGGCCTGAACTTGATATGGAGACCAAGTTGGCCCTGAGCTTATGGTGAACCTCCTGCCTCTACTTCCCAAGTGCTGGGATTACAAATGTGTACCACCGGGGGCTGGAGGTGGCTCAGCACTTAAAACCACTGGCTGCTCTTCCAGAGGACCCGGGTTCAATTCTCAGCACCCAAATGGGAGCTCACAACTGTCTCTAACTCCTGTTCTAAGGGATCTGATGCCCTCATACAGACATTCATGTAGGCAAAACACCAGTGTACAGGAAATAAAAATAACTTACTTTAAAAAAAACACACACACACAAATGTGTTCGCCATACTAGGCTTAGATTTTTTTTTAATTAAACACACATTTGTCAGGATTGAGACAGGTTGCCTTATGAGGTGATGAGCTCCCATTGTTGGGAGTATGTAAGAGAGTTAAGAGGACTGTCTGTAATGGTTGTGCCATAGTCTATGCCTGTACCATCCAAAGTGACACTCTGCCATACTGGAACTGTTTATAGCTGTCTACCAACGCAACTGTGAGCTGGGCAGATCTATCAGTGGACATTTCAGGTATATCAAAGATGACCGAGGAACTGAATTTTTTGGTTGTTTTGGTTAAGTTTGGTTTTAACTTTTTGAGACATGGCCTCATTCTGTAGACCTGGCTGGCCTGGTGCTCACTCTGCAGACCAGTGTGTCCTCAAATTCACAGTAAACCTTCTGCTTCAGTCTCCTGAATTCTAGGATTACAGCAGTCAGCCACATGAGCTTTTAAAAAATATTTTTTTCAAGATTAATTTTATGTGTATGAGTGCTTTGCCTGAATGCATATATGTGCACCATGTGTGTGCCTGGTGCCCATGGAGGTCAGAGGAGGACAGAGATCCCCAGACCTGGAATTGTAGATGGGTGGGTGATGACTGGGTGCCAGAGACTGAATTCAGGTACTCTGCAAGTGCAAAAAGTAGTATTAACTTCTGAGCCATCTCCCCAGGCTCCAGCATACATTTTTTGAAAATAATTTTTGAGGACTATTTCCTTTTTAATTTTATGAGCATAGGTGTTTCGCTTACATGTATGCCTGTGCACCATGTACATTCAGTGCCTATGGAGGCTGGCAGAAGGTGTGGGATTCTCCTGGAACTGAAGTTACAGACAGTTGTCAGCATCCAGGTGGGGGCTGGGAATGGAACTCGAGACCTCTGGAAGAATAGTCAGTGCTCTTAACCACTGAACCATCTCTCCAGCCCCACCCTACACCCCAGCATAGATTTTTAAAAGAGAGGAAACATTTATATTGAGTATTAATTATTGCAAAGAGATGTAGCCCTGACCCCCAAAACTGACTACCTGTAGGAGACAGCAGACAAGAATGTCGGCAGCTACAGGGATATATGATCAAGGAATGACGAGGCAAGTAGTAGAGGTTAGACAGCCAGGGACAGTGCCTGACCCAGCAAGGACAGTACCTGGCCCACCAAAAATGAAAAGAATCCAGTCTTTCAAAAGGATGCCGTGTCTACACCAAAATGTAAAACAATAAGACAGGCAAGGGCTGGTAAGAGGGCAGGGCAGGAAAAAGCTCTTGCTACACAAGCCAGACAACCGGAGCTTGATCCTGGAACCCAAGTGAAAACGCCAAGAGTGGAAGCCCACATGCACATCTGTAATCGCGCACATGCACATCTGTAATCCAGCCTGGAGTACACACAGCACAGCAGCAGACACCAAGGGGACTCTGCCTCAACAAGGTAAAGAAAAGAACCATTGTCCACTGACCTCCACAGGCATGCCACAGCACATGCACACCTGTACACACACACACACACACACACACACACACACAGGTACGCATGCCAAATAAATAAATAAATTTGAAAATAACTTTAAAAGACAATCAAATAAGCCAAGTGTGCTGGTGCACGCCTTTAATCCCAGCACTCGGGAGGCAGAAGCAGGCAAATCTCTGTGAGTTCAGGGCCAGCCTGGTCTACAGAGTGAGTTCCAGGATAGCTAGGGCCCTGTCTTGAAACACAAAAGAAAAAAGACTGGTGATAGAACCATTTCAGTACTCAGGAGGCTGAGGCAGAAGAGTACATCTTAGAGGCCAGTCTAGACTGACTACACAGTAAGTCCCCAACTCAAACAAAATAAAAACATGTAAATCAAACCAAGTAAAGTAGGCAAACAAAACAAAATGCTTCAGGCTGGCCACCTATTGCTGAGAGCAGAGCAGTTCTGCCTGGGGAACTGATGAACCACAGGCAGGACAGCACAGCGAGCAGAGGGGTAGTGAAGTAAGGCTGTGGACTGGGTTAGGAAGGACTCACAGGCCTCACGGCTGCCTGAGAGCACTGAGGAGCCACAGCGGGGCAATGAGGTATGAAAGAAACACATTTCCCCATGCTCCCAGAGATGCTGCAGAGAGAGAGGAGGGCGATCAGATGGGAGAGCTATTGGAAACCCAGGCTGGGTGCCCACAGTGGCCCTGGAGACAAGGGAACCTCACCTGCCTGGTCCTGCTCCCCGTACCATGTGTTCCAGTTGCCCACAAGCGAGCAGGGGTAGTCCTCATCCAGGTGCAGCGTGGGCAGCACAGCCTCCCTGTGGGAGCAGGGCCCTGAGATAAAGGCTCCAACTTGGGCCCCAGGACTGAGCTTGTCTCCTCTCTAAGAAGTGTAGGTGGGGAAGACATCCTTAAGGCTTCCAGCTCTAGAATCTACACCCTTGATTTTGGCAGGAGAAGGAGACAAGGGTTTTTTAAGGGTTTCTTGGGAAAGAGGGACCTACCCACTACCTCCCAGCAGTGGTTGGGAACAGTAGATGAAAGTCACTCACGTCAGACTGTTGTAGGCATCCAGACATTCAGGCTTCACATTGTGAACTGCAACACAGGGCAGAGAGAGAGAGAGAGCAGGCGGTGAAGTACATGCAATACCCATACATGTACGTATACGTGTGTGTGTGTGTGTGTGTGTGTGTGTGTGTATGTATGTCAGAGTGGACAGGCCCCAAATAGGGTCAAGACTCCCAGGACAGTATGGGGCATCCTCCATTATCATAGCTCAGCTCTTTACCCCCCCCCCAAAAAAAGCCCGAGGTGCAGCTAGTCAGTTTAGCAACTACTCACATTGGATCTTGTAGAGATTACTAGTCTCCTTCTTGGACAGCAGAGTGGAGTGGGCATCCTTCCGAGGATCCACCTTGTGCACAAAGAGGGAACGGAACCAGCTGCCTTCACTGTCCTTGGAATAGAAGCTGTAGGACAGAGAGGGTTGAGAGGGCCACGCGGAGGCATAGGAGCAATTCCCCTGCCCAGGTGTGCTGCTCCCTTGGCCTGATGACCTACATTTCTGAAAACAGGGCCACGGAATCCCACGGCAGCTACAGAGTGAAATGTCATCAGCTGGGCAGACACGATTCCTTCTAGAGAGATCCCAGCTGCCCAGTCTGCATCTGTATCCTTGTAGGCCTAGGCGGCCAGGAGAGAGGCTGTGCCTTCCGTCTCTCCAGCATCTCTGCCTTCACCCCCTCCATTCCATGCCTGAGTTCTCCAGCCACACAACACAGTCTACTGCTAAGAGGATTAACCCCCAAACTCACCTTGCCTGATGCCCACTAGATGGGACCCTTGTGATGACAAAGACCACTGGCCTTCCTAAGGCAGGCAGGCTCCCAAGAGTAATACAATTCTTTCCTTTGTCTTTCTGGGTTCTGATACAATGTTATAAGCTCCTTCTTCCTACTCCCTGGTCCTACAGGAGTTCTGTAGCAGCGACAGCTTTCCTGCCTCACCAAGCCCTTTTCTCTGTACGTGTATGAATAAGAGAGAACAGAATTTTGAATCCAAATCCTAGGGCCCTCTGACAGCCTAACCATTTACCCTTCCAAGTCATTAGGCCCAGTGGCATGGGATAGCTGTTGCCCTTCTGGTTGGAAAGGCCTCTAAATTAACCCAGGAACAGAGAATGACAGCTTATATGTTCCATAAAGTCCTTGACAATATCAATTCAAGAGCCTTCTGCTGGATCTCAGCAGAGTCAACAAACACCATACTCTTGCACAAACTCCAGAACCTTGGACAGAACTTCCTGTCAGATCTCACCTTGAGCCCACACCCACCCAGACTACCTGGCTCACAGATGGTGGCAGCTTTTTGGTGGCAGGACATAGCTGCACAGAGGTCACAGAATCTGGGCCTTTTCTGGGTAACTGTCTTCACCAAGGGCAGAAATGTAACTTTCTTTTCATGTAATGCATGTTTACACAGTCATCTAGAAAGAAAGGGGTCTCCTCACTGCCCATGTTGCCCTGAGTAGACATGTCTCAGAGATTTTGGCCCTACTGGAAACCACCTGACTCCTAACTGAGGTGGCCACTGTTCATGCCAGGCCCACTCTGACAGTTCTTAGGATAACGACCAAGCTGACCAACAGGCTTCCACTCCTATCTTAATCCCAGTCCCACATCCTCAGGAAACCCAAACCTCTCCCACTTCCCCCCTAGCATGATGGCCACAGACACAATAGTTCCAGTAGATAGGTGTCTTCACCCAGTGGAAGAAGCAAGTTCCTGTAAAGCAGAGGAGGAGAGAGAGGAGGCGAGAGCCTCACAGGCCACTACCGTTCTCTTGCTTTGGTTCCCCTGGTGTCTAGAGTCTGATAATGCTCAGCTTTCTTTTTCAATATTAAGAAATAAATGAAAGTCTCAATATTAGGTATGATCTCCATGCATGTTTGGCAACCCTCTATCATCTGAAAAGGCTGAAATGGTTCATTTCTTTTTTTTTAATAATTCTTTTTATTTGGTTATTACTGGTTAATTATTATGTGATCAATATTTTTTATTTTTATATAGGTATTTAATTTTGTATTCATGTGTGTTGAGTGTATGTTTGTGCACCACATGCTTACAGGAGCCCACAGACGTCAGCAGAGGCGTCAGATCCCCTGGAACTGGAGTTACAGATGTTTGTGAGCTGCCATGTGTGTGCTGGAATTCAAACCTGGGTCTGTCACAAGAGCAGCCAGTGCTCTTAACCACTGAGCCATCTTCAACCTCCTTAATCTAACTCTTAGAAGCTCTCTAAGTTCATACTTAAGACAGTCCTCAGCCCACTTTTCCTTCCAACTACACTTTTAAGACCTCACACCTAGATGTGAAGCTAGGTGTGGTGATCCACCCTTTTAAACCCAGTACTCAGGAAACAGAGGCGGGCAGAATCCTGTCAGGTCAAAGTCACCCTGGTATACAGAATGAGTTCCAGGACAGCCAGGGCTATTTAGAGACCCTGTCTCCAAACAAACAACCCCCCCCCAAAAAAAACCCAAGCATTCACCTCCAAGCTGGAGATGGCTCAGCAGTTAGAGCAATGGCTGCTCTTTCAAAGGACCCGGGTTCGATTCCCAACACTCACATAGTGGTTCATAACTGTTTATAATTCCTGTCTCAGAGGATCTAGTGCTCCTTCTAGATGCCCAGGGCACCAAGAGTGCACATGCTGACGAACATCCATGGCGCACGCCTTTAATCCCAGCACTCGGGAGGCAGAGACAGGCCGATCTCTGTGAGTTCAAGACCAGCCTGGTCTACCGAGCGAGTTCCAGGACAGCCTCCAAAACAATACAGAGAAACCCTGTCTTGAAAAAAAAAAAAACCAGCAACACCTGTCTCTCACCTCTGAAGACCTCCCAATTTCCAAATGATGCCACAGTCTGGACTTCTACCTCTTGAGATAGCCACTCCTTCCCCTTTCACAAAACAGCCTCCAGAGCCTTCTGAACCTTACCATCCTGCAATCCTGCAGTGACTGAATCAGCAGCTCCAACCAGGGCCCTGTGATGCCCCCCACTGCGGAGCTCAGAAGAAGGGGGATCTTCATCTCTTGTCAATGACTTGAACTTGCTCAGCTATCTTGGGAATGTAAAGAAAAGAGGCCAAAAAGAAGAAGAAAAAGTAGAAGAGGAGGAGGAGAAGAAGAAGAATCCCCACTCAACAATCTGGCCTGATCTATGAGATCTTTTTTGTTTGTTTGTTTTTTGAGACAAGGTTTCTCTGTGCAATCCTGGCTGTCCTGAACCTCAATCTGTAGACCAGGCTGGTCTTGAACTCAGAGATCCACCTGCCTCAGACACCCCAGTGCTGGGATTACAGGTGTGTGATAGCACAACAATTATTTTTTAATGTGTAGGAGTGTTTTGCCAGCGTGTAACTGCACCACCTGCATGCTGCACCCATGGAGAGCAGAAGGAGAGCATCTGCTCCCCTGGGACAGGGCCCCCTGCAAGAGCACTAAATGCTCTCACCCACTGAGCCATTTCCCCAGCCCAGACCCACAAGACCCAGATCCCTAATGACTCATGGAACCTTATGTACATAACCAGTTCAAGAAAAACAACTTAGGTCACAAAAATTTACTATTATGGAATAGAATAAGACGTCCATCTGCTCCCTCAAATATGAGCTTGAACAAGAGCCTCACGATGGTAAAACCAATCATCCCCATAATTATTATAAAAAGGCTTTCCATCCCTTTTCAGGGGCGGGAACTCATGCTTTCTTGCAGTGTATTTCAACAAGTTCTCTGGTCATGTCTAGATAAATTATTTTACAGCAGAGTTATCATCCTCCCCAAAAGTGTTTCATATAGCGAATACTATGTTCCTTTCCTATATGCACAAACTTATAATAATGAAGCTTAATCTGTAAGTAATGCATCTTCATTTATAAATCATGATATTTATAATTATGATGAAAGTTAATTTATAAGCATAGTAAGAAATTAACAATGATAAAGTAAAACAATTATCCCATAATAAAGTGTTTATGGATGTGATCTATTTCTGGAATTTTCCATCTCATATTTTCTGACAAAAATTGCTAGCAGATACTAAGCTATGGGAAGTAGAACCAGAAATAAAGGGTGTAATATCTAATCTCCATTGTCCACCAACTGGGTTTGGGATAACCTAGGAGACACATCTCTGGCCATGTCTAGGAGGAGTTTACAGGGAGGCTTAACTGAGAAGATTCTCCCTACACAGTGGCTAGAGGCCTAGACTGAATAAAAGAGGAAAGAGGGGAGAAGGAAGGCCAGATGAGCAGTCGAATTCATCTCTCTCTGCTTCCTGACTGCGGACACAAAGCAAGCAGCCCCATCAGGCTCTGGCTGACAGCACGGACTGTGCACTCCGAGCCCCTTCTCCCTTAAGCTGCTCCTCCTCAGGTATCTGGTCACAAGGAGAAACGTAACTGACAGCAAATGAGGAATCTATGCTGCCTACCTGGGAGAGGGAAGACAATAGATGGCTAGATTTAAATGTTTATAACGCGAAAAGAATGCTGGCTTAAGCACTTCTAAACTCATGGGCTCTTTCAGTTATTGCTCATGTGTGTTCACTTAGCATAACGCAAAAGGACACGTGTCATTAGGTGGGATGGACGAATGGTGCACTTAGGGTGCCTCTGGACCAGGCTCTGGGATCTCTTCACTGCAGGAGCTCTGTGAAGCAATACAACCCTCTTAGAGTGTGGGTTCTGCGACTGCCACCTTCAGGATGAAGCCCATGCTCGCAGTTTCAGGAACTTACCGAGGTCAAATGGAAAACCAGTCCCTCAGGTGGGCTCTGAAGGGCGTGGCCTTTGCTCTGAATGGCGGGGCTGCTTTCCCAGGAGGTATGACAGGGAGGAAAGTGGCTCTATTTGCCCACCAAGACCTTTGCTCCAGAGCTAGGCTCTCAGTAACTCATTAACATCAGTAGTAGCCAAGACAAATATCCAGTGGCCGGTCCTGAAGAGCAGGCACAGAGGCTTCAAGGCTGGGAGGGAGAAGGGTCCCTGCAGCTCTGATGCCTTCCATCTTCCTGCGATTCTAACCCTGCCTGCATGCAGGCCTGCTTCTCAATGTGCTCAGTAAGCAAGACATAGCAGCCCACCCAGCTAGGTCTTCTCTTTCTTACTAATTTTTATTTCATTCTATGTATATGGATGTTTTGCCTGCAAGTGTGAGACACCATGTGGGTGCTGGGAATCAAACCCCGGTTGTCTGGAAGAGTAGCCAGTGCTCTTAACTGCTGAGTCATTTCTCCAACCACAAGAAGATCTTTTATATAGGTAAAAATCTGGTAAGTTCCAGGGAGAGTCTCAATTTCAAGCCAACACCCTCAAGAGCATATTAAAAAAAAAAAAAGAGATGTATTTATTTAATGTGTGAGTGTTTACCTGAATGTATGCATGTATACCACCTGGGTGTGAGGAGA